GTGGACACCCCCAAATCTCCTATGTAGGAAGGATCTACAAAGAAGAAACTCAAGAGTACATGGGAACAATAAGAAAAAGGGGCTAAGGCAGAAATGACCTTGGGGTGGGGGGGAATTATAAACATATTTCAATAAGACAAAATAACATACCCTAACACAACAACATTAAGAATATTTCTTGACATTTTTAGTCACAGTATTTGGTGCATTCTATTAATTTGTCCTTTTTGTCATTTGTAGATTCTTTTTTGTAGAGAGTATATGGTCCAAAGGTTTTTCCCCCTTCTCTTTCCATCCAAATTATCAGCAATTTAAAAAAATATTTAGAGTTTGTACTTTGAATCCTTCCTGCCAGGTCCTGCAGTGATTATGGAGAAAGGATAACTTGAAGCTGTAAAATGACAAATGTAATGGTGACCTGCTGCATCAGTTAACTATTGCTGCATAAGAAGCCACCCCAAAACTGAATGGCTTAGCACAACAACAAGTTCCTTAGTTCATGATGCTGTGGGTCAGCAGAATGGGGTTGGGCTCAGCTTCATGGTTCTTTCAGTCTCAAGTGGATGCCTTCAGGCATCTGCCAGGAACTGCAGGTCAGCAGAATGTATGGAAGTTGGCTTCTTGTCTGCTAGGGAGCCTCAGTTCCCTTCACATGTCTCATCATCCTCATGCGTCAGTCATTGCTCCATCAAGCTGGTTCATGTAGCAGAGGGAAATGAGAGCAAGAGGAACTATGTCAGTCCTTTGATGCCTAGCTTTAGATGCCATTTCCACCACATTCTATTGCCCAGGGCAAGTCACTAGGCCAATGCAGATTCAAGACAGTAGACTCCATCCCTTGATGGAAAGAGTTGCAAAAGAACAAAACAAATGACACAGGGACAGAGAGGCCATTCACTAAGGTCATTGATACAACAAACCTCAGAGAAACTCTGGAAGGCCACATAAGAACCTGCAGGGCTGGTTGCTTCTGTGGACAGGATCCAGGGCACAGAATGGGAAGGAGGCTCACAATTCATTGTTAACTTTTTAGTTCTCATTGGAATTTTGAACATATGTATACATTACTTTAACTTAATAATAGAGAGATTTTATTGCATCCTACCTACCAGGTGCCAGGCATTGTGCTAGGTAATTAACCTGTGCGTGCTATAGAGGCGTAAAGAGGGTACATCAACTGTTCAAGATTGTGGAGTTGCAGTTAACAGAGCCAGGATTTGAATGAAGGCTGTCTGGCTTCAAAATCCATAAACTTTGCCAACATGCTCTACTGCTTCCTATTCATAGAAAATGTCTTGAAGAGGTGTCAAATTGCTGTTGCCACTTATTTTTCACTCACTTTACAACTCAGAGCAGGTTGTCTTCTGCCCTGATTAATCCAAGAACTGGATTCTCCCCAACATCACAAGTACCTCCTTGTTATTAAATCTGTGGGACACATCTTGGCCCTCTTGTTTGACTTCTAGACAGCATTAGACTTTGTTGGTCCTTTTTCTTACAGCACGCTGTGCCTTTGGATTACTGAAATTATTCTTTCCAGATCTCCTCATTGGTCTCCATCACCTTTGAAAACTCATCTCCTTCTTCTTTTCCTCCTTCCCCTTGTCCTCACAAGGATCCCTTCTAGGCCTATTTCTTCCTTCAGTTCACATGTTGTGGGCAATCTAACTCATTCCCAATAGGTGATTGACATCAATCACCTATTACTTCCCAATTTTCATCTCCATCCTTAATCTCACACTGCACCTGCTACTTCCCACCAAGTCTCTACTTGGATGTCCCAGAGATCTCAAAAAGTCTAGAATTACATGTCACACCCTGCCCACTATCATCAAAACTTACCCTCCCCTTCCTGTTCCAACCCAGCAAAGCAAACCAAAAACCCAAGGATTAGCTTTTTGGATGTGGGCATAGCAGAGAGGCAGACAAGCAGATGCAGATATCACCTGAAGAGGGCAGCCTCCACCCAGCCACAGTGCAGACCAATGCCAGGCACAAAAAAGGTGTCCCCTTCTTGCCAGGCCTTTGTCCTTTCAGAGGAAATTCAGAAACCAGCACTGTTACATAAAATGTCCTGATTTTTAAATGTTGACTATTGATTCAAATATTTTGAAAGCATTGCTTAGGCCAAGCTAAACCTCCTGCTAGCAAGATTCAGTATAAAGGTTGCCAAGCCACACATCTACATGCATACTCTCCTGGGATGAAGGTACCCTCTCCCACAGATATTTCTAGGCCAACTCCTATGTCCCCAGCCTGACTTCTTTCTTTGGTTACAGACCCAAAAATTCATTCTCCTCTATAAGCACTTTATACTCAACATGGTTGACACCATGACACAGAGTGACCATACCCCTCTGTAATTTAAGAAAAGCTAGGAATCTGGATTTGCATGCAAAATCACCAATTTTTAAAATTCACATTAAAATGTTATCAGGCAAATAGTACTTTCTCTCTTGGATCAGATTTGACATCATGGCCACCAAGCTGCCACCCTGATTTAGTGTGAGCTGGCTGCCCCCCCAGGGGTATGCTGAATACCTGTGGACATGGTCTCAATTGATCTTGGCCAAGGTCTGGAGGAATAGCTGTACTTTCCTGTGTCTAGCAAGGAGACAGGCCAGCCAGGTACTGTAACTCTGAAAAGTCATACAGTCAGTGAAGCACTAAAATAAATAGCCAAACTTCTGCATCTGCGTAGGCAGAGGGGATGTGCTTGTCCCTATTACTCTTACTAAGTACAACTAAAAGTCCTAGACATTATATTTAAAAAGACATAGGGAGACTCTGAAAGTTAGAGAGAAAAGGCAGACCAGTCTGGGAAGCTGGAAATCAACAAACAATGTGGTGGTGAGTCCCTGAGTTTTATGTTGCCTCATATATTCCAGACTTGGGGTTGAACCCAGAAATGCCATGGGGACAGACCAGAGACTACCCAACAAAAGCCTTCTATTTCCAGCCAAAGGACCAGGAGAGAGAAAGCTGAACAAGACAGAAATTTTTCAGATATTAACCTTTCTACACCAGTCAAACATCACGGGACCCTTACCCACATGGGTTGAATGGGAGACCTATGTTTCTACCTCTACCTGGAAGAAACGAGGCAGCCCCCTACCCTCACCCAGTTGCCCAATTCCAGTACTAGAGCAGAGGAAACTAGCTAAAACATACGGTTTAAGTGAGAGCCAGAGTCTTATAACAAAACAAAACAAAAAAATGTCCAGGTTCCAACAGAAAATCACACATCTGATAAGAACCAGAGAGATCTAAACTTGAATTTAAAAAAATGAATAGACACCAACAGAAAGAGCAGAGATTTTATAACAGCTATGATAACAATGCTTTAGTGAGCAATTGTGAATGTGCCTGAAACTAAGAAAAAATAGGAAATCTCAGCCGAGGAAGAGAAAATCTAAAGGTGACCCAAGTGAAAATTTTAGAAGTGAAAAATGCAATAACTAAATTAAAAGCTTAGTGGAAGGGTTCTAAATCAGAATGGTGGGGACAGAGGAAAGAATCAGTAAACTGGAAGATAGGACACTAGAAATAACCTACTGGACAACAGAGAGAACATAAATGGGGGGAAATGAAAAGAGCCTCAAGGAGTCATGATGAAAGTCCTAACATCCATAGCATTAGAGTTCAAAAGGGCAAGAGACAAGATGGTAGGTCTGAAAAAGTACTTGAAGAAATAGTGGTGGAAATGTTCTAAGCTGTTTCTCAAAGGCTTTTTTTTTTAATTTCTTAAATTAGTTCACAGGCTCTAAGCCTGGGCCTCCCCACACAGTGTGATATTGAGCCAGCCGTTTCTGAAGGACAACAGTTCTTTTCAACACTGCTATGGTGTAACATTTTTTTGTGAAAGAAGGAAGGCAACAAAGGCCTGCTAAGGTCAGTGTGAGCAGGGGACATGTGTCACACTCCATGGGGATATAAGTAATGTTACTCCTGAGTTGCAGGCAATGAGATTAACGCTCACGGGGCAAATATGAGCCCAGGTAATCTGGACCCTAAATCCAGTGTTCCTTCTTATAACTCTTCAAGCTACATTGCCAATTGTCCTGGACAGTTTTCAAGCCTTTCCCTGGCCAGTATAGATGCACCAGAGATTTTTTGGGGGGCCTGACTCCTGGGGAATAGGGAGGTTTGCTGGGGATGGGGGTGGAGGAAGAAGGCCTGCACCAGACTGCCTCTTCTGTACTTCCTAGGGATTTGCACACCCCCACACATACCAACTTTTTATTTATATATCACACTGTGTGTGACTCTGTGTGGGTGTGAGTGTGCCTGTATGTATGTGTGTGTGATATGAGTGTGCCCATATGTGTGTGACATGTGTGTATGCCCGGATTTGTATATGTGTATATCTATGTGGAGTGTCTCTGAGTGTATGTCTCTCTGCATTCATGTTCCTCTCTATGTGTCTATGTGGGTTTGTGTGTCTCTGTGGATGTCATGTGTCTGTCTTTGTGTATGTGCTGTCTGTGTGTGGTGTGTTCTATGTCTGTGTCTGTAGGTGTATAGTGCACACACCTCTGTATCTGTGGGGAGGTCTGTGTGCATCAGATATCTGTGTATCTCAGTGCACCATTAGTGTGTGTATGTGTGTCCCAATGTGTTGCCTGTGCCTGTACTGTGTTCTGTGTTTGTGAGTTTGTGTGTGCATGCACATGTGTTATCTGTATACACAGAGCTTGTGTGTGGTAGTGTGTCCCTATATGTGTGGGTCTGCGTGCCTGCATGGTGTGTGTGCGTGTGCCCATGGGTTTGGCATATCCACACGCTGAGGCTTCTGAGAGTCTAGCTTCTTTCAGGGACCTGTGGCAGTCCCCCAGAGGCTACCCTGGGGCGTGGAAGCCCAGGAGGCAGGCAGAAGGAGCCTGTGTGTGAGTTCAGGGGTTGCGTCCCAGCTCCTTCCCAAGGGCCAGGCACACGTGGGTCCTGGGCGCCGCCTCCCTGCTCCGCCTGCCAGTCTCTGGTGTCCCCACCCACCGCCAGCCACCCCCACCGCAAGCCTGACCAGGGATAAACTGGCGGCTCTGTCACCGCACCCTGTAGCTACGGAGCCGGAGCCCGGCGGCACACAGCTCAGCCCAACCCTGACCCGCTGCAGACTAGGACCCCCAGCCTTTGGAACTCGAAAGCGGCGCTCGTGGCTCCGGTAACTGCCTCCCGGTCCTCGCCCCAGACTACAAGTGCCGTCACCAAGGGTGGGAGCAGCTTCGGGGGCCCTGGTCCGCGGGGCGTGGGCTCCTACACTCCCTTGTGCGCGCGTGTGTGTGCACGATTGTGCACGAGCTGGTATATATATATATATATATATATATATATATATATATATATATATATATATATATGTGCGCGCGCGCACTCCTCGCTCCCTCCCACCAGTCCCCAAACCAACTTGTCCGCATCAACTCCACTGCCCAGACCCCGGAGACCCCGCGCAGAGACCAGGGTGAAGTCTCCAGGTTTTCCCCGTGGCATTTCCAGTGACAACTGCTGGACTCCATTCCCTGCAATGTCGCATACTGGCAGGAAACAAAGTTTTTCAGGAGGCACGGGGGTGACTTTATTTCGGGGACACTCTTGTGTGCTTGTGCGAGCTGCCTTGGTGTGCGTGCTGCCCCGATGTGAGCTGAGCATTTTCCCAGTTTCTCCAGCAGTGGATGCTGGGTTCTCTGCCCCTCCCTTTTCCAAGCTCCTTTGGCGATTTGCTTAGGAAAAGTGATGACTCGAAGTAGAGCTTGTCAGTGAGAGCTAGAAGCAAGCTGCCGGGTTCAGCACCCCTAGCGCCCAAAAGGCAGGATTTGGGGGCAGGGCGCTGGGAAGGCGACAGTGGCTCCCAGTGCTTGATACCGCTCCGCGGGGATGAGGGATCAGCCTTTATCTGTCTGGCTCTGATTCTCCAGGCTGTCGTGGTTGTGGAATGCAAAAACCAGGACATGATGGAAACAGGTCCGTCCACTAGGCATCTTTGGAATTTTGGGCAGAAGGAATTAACGGGAACATCGTCATCTCATTATTGTGTCCCCTTGAAACTTCCTGGTGAATGTGAAGATGGCTGGGTCTTCTTGCAGCTGGGTCTTTATACCCACAGAGCTAACTATAATTTCCACTTGATTACAGCTAAAATAGTCTTTAAGATGAAGTTTCCTGAAAGGATTTAAAATAAACACAGATGGGAAGGGGGAAAAGCTGTAATGAGGCACTTACAAAATAAAGTGAGTATTTTCTTAAGAACAAATGGGACTTTTCAGTGTTGAAGAAATTGAAAGAAATATATGTACTTGTTTAACCTTCGAAATGGAGGTTTTTTAAAACTACTTAAAAATGTTACTGGCAAGGCTTTCCTCTCTGTTTTTGCCATGTTGCTGATTTGGAATATGTCCTTTTTTCTTCCAAGAACTTGGAGATCCTTTCAGAATGCCAGAGGAAAGTTCTCCCAGGAGGACTCCACAGAGTGTTCCATATCAGGACCTGCCTCATTTGGTCAATGCTGATGGACAGTACCTCTTCTGCAGGTACTGGAAACCCACTGGCACTCCCAAGTAAGTCTCTCCCAGATGCTGGGAGCCTTCACACCTGCCTCTCCTCTCTATGTAGCCTCTCCTGTGAGGGTGCTGTCTCCATGATATGCTTTACATGCCACTTTAACATTAGATTCAGCTATGCTAACAAAGCTGAGATTTGTACTTTATCTTCTTTTTAAGTTAAGAAGTAGGAGTTCTATTTTCATTATAACTAGGATAGGCATTCTACCGTATGGCAGTTTTCAAGAATTCCACATGACTTTATTTTTTGTACTGGAGTTGATTTCCTGTTGTACAAGCATTTCTTTAAAATTAAACCCAACAATTACAGAAAACCACCTAAACAGATAAGAAAGTTAAAATTATAGTTATACATAGTAACCTTTGTTCTCTTTTCCTGTTGGTTTGTGAGCTTCAGAAAGTGTCATACTTTAACTGGGAAGCAAGAGGTCTGGGTATTTCCTTCCGATTTCTTGCCAGCTCAGTTACTTTGTACATTTTCCATCCAGGGTTGTCTTACTATTAGAAGCAGACATTGAGACTATACATAATAAGACAGCTGGTCTCATTCTGCTCTTCTTCTCTTGTATGAGACAGAGACAACCCTGCTTGTTTGTGTTGTACAGGGAAGGAAATTATTTGTGGTAACCAATCAGCCTAGTGATGAATGGTTTCCATGCCATGGACATTTTACCTGCTTCTTCCTAAGCCTCTTGTTTCCTATGGGACATAATATGGTGAGATTATATCTTCCTTTGTGTTTCAGTAATCACCTAACCATAGCACAATTATAAAATATCTCTATCTTCAACAAGGTGTACAATTCAGGTAAATGCACATTAAAAAATCAGAGCTATGAACTTTTTAAAGATCTGCCTTAAACTTATAGCTTCAAGGAAGCTATACAAACTGGCTATCATAATGGGCTAATAGTTCCTAACAGTTCTGGAAATATCTTTCTTAAAGACTTTCTCTAGAGAAGAGTGAATATGCCCATATATGCATGTGTGTCAGATGGAGGGAGTGTTGTCAAGCATTATCTTTATGCTCCATTCTGATATATTCTCTACTTTGACCTAACTGGATGTAGAATTACATGTTTTGGGTTTAATTTCTAAAAACTTAGTGGTAACTGGTGAGTTATTTTTCAGTATAAAAAAGAGTACAAAGAACTGAAAGTAGTTTTTAATGTCCAAGTCTCAGACTTTGGGGGCTTTCTTGGTTGAAATGGGAGGTTGTCCTAGTTCGGGGTCAGTGAAAAACAGAAGGCCCTAAGTCTTCAAATGGAGACAGAGTGGTGGGTGAGTGGGTCAGGAAAGGCTGGCTGGCTATGAGTAGTTTTCACAGTCTCCATGCTGATGCTGCATTGTGGTGAGCTCCCTGCTGCTTCACTTTTGTTCGGGTCAGAGATGGCAACCCAGTTGGAAGTCAGTGTTTATAGTGGGACAGGTACTGATAGAAATATAGAATTGGGTGGACAAGTGGAGGAAATTGGGCCTTGGGCTTTAGAGGAGAAGTGTGGCTAGGGTAGTCAGGTGACAGCCAAATTCATAGAGGCAGTATCTAACACAGGTGGTCTGGTCTGAGGTCGAGAGCCCACCCTTAACCCACTCCCCTAAGAACTCCTTCTCTATTCCCTAGAGATGATGAAGATCAATAAACCCACTTTTGGGGTTGGGAGTTTCCGTATGTCAGGGATCTTTAAAACATTTCACAACCAGCCCAGACCAAAGAGAAAGTTCTGGTGGCCTCTTGCAGTGACAGATGTTAACCATGTGCTTCCTGCTTATTAGGGATGGCTAGGGGGTACTGGAGGAGAGATCATGGCAGCTAGAACGGTGGATAGGCAGTGGGGGCCTCAGGTCAGAGATTTATGACAACTGATACAAAGTGCTTCCATATCTTAATAACTGAGTCCAGCTGGTCTGTTCCAGCTGCTGGGTAGATTGCCCTCTTGCATGGTCTAGGACAGGGGTGTCAAACTCATTTTAGCTGGGGGTCACATCAGCTTCATGGTTGCCTTCAAAGGGCTGAAGTAATTTTAGGACTGTATAAATGTAACTATTCTTTGACTGTTAAGGAGTTGAAATTACATTCGGCAGTTTGAAGACAACCTCGAGGCTGATGTGGCCCTGGTGAAAATGAGTTTGACAACCCTAGTCTAGGATATCTCTGCTACTGCATTTCAACATTTCTGCCTGCTGCTTTTAGTGGGGAGAAGACTGAAAGTCACCACTGGCTGCAGCCTATTTCCTCCAGGGACTGTCTTCCAGGCTTCTCCTATCTAGTTCAACTAAGGGTCTTCCCTGCTCTACCATGCATGGGAGGAAAGCAGGCAAATGTCACCTTCTCTCTCCTTGTTCACTCTGTTCCTTTTTAAAATCTTTCTCACAAGGTCCTTGGGACCTCAGAAGCCACCCAGGGGCTGTCTTACACATAGGGGTCTGTGTCTGCCTCCCTTAATTGGCACTGGTTTGGTCAAGAAGTTGCCTCCAGCTCCTTGGGCCTGCCCAGAACACTGCCAGAATATCCTGCCCTTAGAGGACATGCTGAGCTCCAAGACCAGGTAGCTCAGAGCAATACTAGGTCACAGGTGTCAGCCATAGCTGGGAAACAGGCTTAAGTTGCTTATGGGAACAAATTATGGCTTTGTAAATGCCAGCCTCCTCATACCAGATCCTGAAAAAGAGGCGAGTATTTCTTGGAATAGTCATTACAATGTATGTCCAAGCACAATGCTGTTTTAAATATAGCAGGCTAGGATTTAGTCATTATAAAGCAGAGATTTTAAACCTACAATACCAAGGCAAATTTATGCTCATCTACTAGTATTTATTTATGATCATAACAAATGTTAGACTTAGACATAGCAGAATTATATTAATTATCAAGTATGTTCTGAGGTCTAGACTAGACTCTATATAGACATGATCTTATTTTATTTTTACATCAACTGTGAGACAACTACCATTATTATTCCCATTTTACAAATGAGAAACAGAAGTCCAAGATTACCCAACTAACAGTTGTCCAGATTTGTTTGGTTCCAAATCGATTGCTTTCCTTAATTGTTTCATAAGTAGTGCCTTCTTGATAAATGCTTACATTTTTTGTTAGTAAAGAATAATAAAACAAGTAATTCTCCCTAATAATTTGTTCATAATATATTAAAAGTGGGAAGTAGACTAAAGTTATATATCCATTCTGAAACAAAAAAATCTTATGATGCACCAAGGGACTGGCTGCTTTATAGAGATTTTTTAGTACTTTGGAATTTTGAAATACTGGTTCTTCAACAAATTTCACTGATGGTATTGGCAGAGTAGTGGAGACTGGCCCAGGTGGAGGTTGAGTTGCTTTGTGGGCTTTTGTGACCTTTGGTAATATTTAGCACTTTTGAATTCAGTATATCAAGTAGCCCTCAATCCATTTAAAGGACAATTTTAAATTAATGTCTGAATATTACTTGGCCATTTTCAGGATAGTTAGGTGCTCCTGCCCCAAATGGTGAATGACTAACTGTATAACATTGTTAGGGGATGCTGTGGGTGGTCTGAAATAATACTCAATTTGATGACTTGATTCCCTCCAAATCCTTTGATTCTGTCTGACCAGGAAGGCTGTAGATCACACTGTAATTATGATTACATAACTGCAACTCCTAGCACATTCAGTTCATCAGTAAGGCCTGACACTAAGTTAATTCATGCTGAAAAAATACTTTGGTGTTCTTCATCTCTCTTTAAAGATACCTCTCTCATGTCACGTGGACTTTGTATCTGGGCAGCTGTTCAACTCTGAAGAGCTGATAAGCTTTCTTTTCTGTAGCTTCTATTTGTGAAAACAACTGGTGTACTGAGGGAGCTGTTTCAACATGCAGTTTTCTCTCCACTTGTAGATGTCCTGATGCAAACCCCTAGGGAGGGAAGCCCTTTCACCCTTCCTGGAGAATCACAAATTACTCACCTTTGAAAATTCTGTTTAGCGTTTGTTCCAAGTTCCTCTACATTTTAAGAGATTTTCCAGAACATAAGCCCCAGACTTTGCTGGCTTTGCCTTCTTTTCCTTTTTTGCCTTTGACTTCAATAACCTGGTTTTTCCTCCAGTAACTCTGCAGCCACACCCTTACCATGGATGCCTCTTATTTTCACAGCTCCACCAATCTGACCTGCCCCCAGGTAGTCTGCTGATGGTGTGGTTTCCAGATTTTCCTCTTGGTGATGTGGGCTAGAAGTGGGACATAGAGAAAGAGGACTATACAAGAGTAATGTGGCATTAGTTCTGGTGACCATTGTCAGTGGATTGAGAATCAAGAAACCCAGGATCCCTCTCCCTCTGCTTCCCTCCTTATTCCTTATTCATTGCTCCCTCTCACCCCATCCTTAGTGAAACTCGACTGACATTCCCTACCTCTGCACTGTTCTTTCCTGGGTCACATTGATCTCTTTCTCCAAGAAGCCTTCCTAAGCTGTTTAGAGTTTTGGACAATGCCCTCTTAGGACATTTTCTCCCACCTGGAGACCCAATTCCCTGAAGCCGGAATATATTTATATGCTAAAAAACACTCTCCCTCCTTGCCACCCTCATAATATCCTCCTCATATCAGCTGCTAGCCACTTGAGTGTATCATCTGTGGCTCCAGAAGATAAGAGCCCCTCCCAGCCAACTGGATCCAGACCATGTAGATGCAGAGTTCTCACCAGCTCTCTGGACATAATTTCTATACCCACTGTCTTCTGGAAATTTTGTTTTCATAGATGAGATGGGCATTTCCCTCCCCTGTCCTCCCTCTAAGGCTTTCTAATCAGGTCGTAAGTCTGTTATGTGGTGCCTTTCTTTCCCCCAGTCTAGGGTTCTGAGCTAATGTGCCATGGATTCTGCTTATATCCTTGGGTGTTTCTGCCTCCTGTGCAGCCCCTGCTATGTTCTGTTTGATTAGGTGTTACCACATTATTTACCTTTGGTTATTACATCCCCAAGGTCCACCAAATCACATCCCTATTTGTCCCTGAAAGGAG